CATGGTCCAGGCTTTAAGCCACCATCATATCATGAGGCTAGAGTCAAATTTTTGAAGATAAAATATGATATGACAATGGATTTAATTGAAGAATACAAGGTTGAATGGAAGAGAGTAGGATGCACAATAATGACCGACGGGTGGACGGATAAAAGAAGGAGGACCATTATAAATTTTTGCGTAAATAGCCCTATGGGTATTGTTTTTCTCAAGTCCATTGATGCATCTCACATTACCAAAACAGCTGATAAAATATTTAAGATGATTGATGAAGTTGTTGAGGAGGTTGTGAAGAAAATGTTGTACAGGTTGTGACGGATAATGCAACAAATTACAAAGCTGCCGGAGAGATCTTGATGGCAAAAAGAAAAAAAGTTGTATTGGACACCTTGTGCAGCCCACTGCATTGACTTGATGGAGGATTTTAGGAAGAAAATATCAGTTCATCAAGACACTAATCAGAAAGGAAGAAAAATTACAACATTTATTTATTCTAGAACTTCTCTCATTTCCATTCTGCAAAAGGAGATCAAAGGTAAAGATTTAATTAGACCCGCTATGACTCCTTTTGCAACATCTTACTTGACTTTGACATGCCTCAGTGAGAACGAACAAGCTTACATTGAGAAGAATGTTTAATTTCGAAGAATGGAAGGCTAGTAAGTATGCAAGGTCAAGGGATGGGAAGTTAATTGAAGATGTTGTCATGGACAAGGAATTTTGGAAAAATATTGTGAAGGCTAGTAAGAGTGTGTTTTCTCTCTTTGATCCTATGTTGTTGAAGTCTTCATCCTCCACTTTGCATGTGATTGGTCCAGCGACCACTCTTGGCTCAATTCTCAAGGACAAGAATCTTCTAGAAGGGAGGGGCAATGTTATGGGCCAAACCAGCCCAAATCACCTTGATGAACGAGCTGCACCTCGGTCTAAGAATAAGATCAAATAACCTAAAAAGATGAGTTGATTTTGTGATGCAGTAACTAAAGATAAGAAGCCTAGAATTCAAAGATCATATTGCAGTTTTATTTTCATAATTACCTTATGGGAAATACATAAGTTATGTAACATGATAGAGAACAAATTTTCTACTCACTCATCGATAAGGGTGTGCATGACAACCATTCTATTTTCGATCACTGTTTCTGAAAAGAAACAATTCTTTTTTATTTCTGTGCCTTAGAACAGTTTATGATAAAAAAAAATATGTTTGATAACATGTTCTATTTTTATTCCGAGAATGAGAATTGTGTTTGATAACACAATAAATAATATAATAAAAAATAATTCCTATTAAATATAAAAAAAATTTGGATCATCACTTTTCTTTCCATATCGTGTGGTTGTGGTGGCGGCGGCCGCGGTACAGTAGTGGTGGTGGCAGTGACGTGGAGAAGATAGTGATGGTGGTTGTGACAGCAGTGGCTGCGACGATGGCGGTAGTAATGGTGGCAGCGGCGGTGGTAGTGGAGGTGACGGCAGTGGCTGCGACAATGGTGGTGAGTATGGTGGTTGTGGCGGCAACAATGGTAGCAGTGGCATGGTGGTGGTGGTGGGTATGAAGGCATCATGGTGGTGGTGGTGGCAGTGGTTGCTGTGGTGGTGGTAGGTGACAGTGGTGGTGGTGGTGGTGGTGGTGGTGGTGGTGGCGGTGGTGGCGATGACGTGGTGATGGTAGTGGTGGCGTTGGTGTAATGGTGGCGATGATAGTGGTGGTGACAGTAATGGCTGTGATGATGGTGGTGGTTGGTGGCGGCGACGACGACGACGGTGGTGGTGACGGTAGTGGTTGCGACAATGGTAGTGGTGGTTGGTGACAATGGTGGTGATGGTAGTGGTGGTTGGTGACAGTGGTGGTGGTGGTGGTGGTAGTAATGGCGATGGGGGTGGTGGCAGTGGCGTGTGATGGCGATGGTGGCAGTGACGGCAGTGGTTGTGATGTTGGTGGTGGTGGTTGATGGCGGTAGTGGTGATGGTGGCAGTGGCGGTGGCGGTGGCAGTTATAGTGGTGGTGGTGGTGACAACAGTGGTAGTTGTGGTGGTGGTGACAGTGGCATGGTGATAGTGATGGGTGGAGGTGGTGGTGGCATCGTGGTGGTGACGACGACACTAGTGGTACAATGGCGGCGGCGACGATGGTGGCGACAGTCGTGTCGGGATGATGGTGGTGATGGTAGAGGTGGAGAGTGATTGAGAGAGATAAGTGTTTCTCATTTTGTGCCCGGGAACAAAAAAAAATTGATTCTTTTTTCTGTTCTTCAACACACAAATTAAACCGGTTCATCCCGGGAACAAAAAAATAAACCGATTTTACCAAACGAGTTTCCTATTCATTTCTGTTCTCGGGAACAGAAATTAAAAAAGAATTGATCCCGGAAAGATTGTCATGCACACCCTAAGTGTGTAAACATTTTTTTTTATGGTAGGGCCCACTAAAATCTGTTTGTGCAGGAAAGTCATTTATTTTCCTGTTACATAACATATATATTCCCCTTACTTTATTAATTGATTTTCATTAGGTTAACTTTTGTATTTATTTTTTATTGCTTGTTTCTAATTTTGAGCTTCATCGTGTCTCATATAAACCTTAATTGCTAAATGAAAGAGGCAGGTTATTTTCCATATTCTTCGTCCTTTCTTCCTACTATTCTTCCTCTCCTCTCTCTCTCTCTCCCTTAATGTTACATTTTCTCTCGATTTCACTTCATCTATGGCGAGAATTTTGATCTCACAACATTTATTCTATAACCTTCTACTTCGTAAACTCTCTTTTCTTTTCTTTTCTTTTCTTTTTTGGTAAATTGTAAACTTTCTTTTCTTTTCTCTATAAGTTTACCTTTTTGCTGTTACTGTAATTAGGCCTATAATTTACGAGTTTGGTGATAGGGTGAAAATAAAAATCAAATTCAACCTATACTTCTTCAATTAGAGGTATGTTGGATGCATCACTTTATTTGTCATTTTCGTTTTTGGGAATGAGCTAAAGGGGACTTTTCCTTCCCCCGACTAACGGTGTTCATATTTATGTGAATCTGTCATAGTTATTTTCATGATAACAGATTAATATTCTTTTATATTTTCTTTGTTCTATCACACCATTTTTCCGGTTTACGTCTCCATTTTTCTTTGCTTCTCTCTGTTCATTTGTCTTTTTTTAAAATAAAAAAAAAATTGTTTGTTCAAAATAATCTTTACAGTTGGAAAACCTCAAGTTAGGATATGCTATAAGAATTTTTACAATAATCAGGATGTTTGGAATAATTTATTCTAAAATTTTAAAAATAACATTTTAAAAAAATTAATTTATTTTATTTTAAAAAAAGAACTGTTTCTTAACATACAAATATATGAAACAAAAATAACATTACAGATGACACGTTTTCCTTCGCTAACAGCCTAACAATGCCACAAATACAATAGCATACTACCATCGCTTCTCAGCAATATGCTTGGTACGGCCAACTAAAAACTCCTCCCTAAAAAGTTGTGTTTCTCTGTATCCCACTACAAAGGACACTTGTCGCAACTGCAATTTGAACCCTTCTCAATGCTGAAACTTCAATACATATTCAAAAACAAAAGAAAAAACATACCCACATTGAATTACTTATAAAGTATAGTTGTTTGTAACTTACTCACTCGTTTGGTGGATATGATAGGATAAAAGTAAGATATGATATAGAGTTGATAAGAGTAGGATATGATATGAGACTGATAAGCCTATATCATGTGATGTGTTTGATTAACACCTGATTAGCAATCTGATAAGATTATGTAAAAAGAGAAAGGAAAAAAAAAAGAAAATATAATGCAATAAATACAAATATATTGGGTAGCGTTGAGATATATTGGGTAGCGTGGAGATATATTGAGTATCCAATATTGGTATCCTATTCTATTGAATACTAACTCAGCTCCCCTTATAGGATAAGAAATCATGTATTGGATAGGATAAGATGAGACAATAGGATAAGTTAATCATATCTTATTGACTCACCAAAAATAAGATATGATAAGTTATCCTATCTTATCTTCTTTATCAGAGCTCCAAACAAGCCCATAAAGTATAGTTGATTACGGAAGCATATATTTATAATTTTTTATAGGTTTAAAGTTTTTAAAATTATTTTACATAATTTTATCTAATATTTATCAAAATATGCAAAAAAAAATTTGTGTTCTATTTTTTTTCTCTCTCCTCTTCACATGAGTCTACATGGATCCCACACACTTTTTTTCGTATATTTTAATGAATATTAAATAAAATTAACTAAAATAACTTTAAAAACTTTAAATCCATTTTTTACAAATTTATCTATGTATTTCATAGAGTACATTTTTTTATTTTTTACTCTCCAGAGTTAATTAGAAAAAATTTGTAAATATTACGTACACTTAAAAGTTTAGGTGATTTATTTACCAAAAAAATAAAAAAGTTTAGGTGATTTAATATAGTAAAAAGTAATTGAAAATAAAATTTTAGACCTCTGTTGAAAATAAATGATTAAAAAGTTATTGAAAATAGTTCATAATAAATGTTTGGAAAAGGAATAAAAATCCTTATAATTTATTCGAATTCAAATTTTAGCACCGGTATATTTAAATAATAACCTTTAATTTTCATTTTTTAAGTTATTAGTGACGAGTCACAACCATCAAAATATTAATTACTATATTTTACATTTGATTAAATTTAACCTCATTTAATTCATAATTTCATGTAAATTAAATGCTTACAGTTTAAAACTATTAAACTCTTGGGGACTCCTTAAAATATTAATAACCTTTTAAATTTTCATTTTTTAAGCTATTAATCACAACAACTAAAATATTAATTAGTATATTTTATATTTATTTATGTTTAAACTTAAACTTAATTCACAATTTAATATGAATTAAACCATTTAAGTCTTGGTCACTCCTTGTTTAAGAAAGCAATATAAATATTACCACCAAAAAAAAATAAAAAAAAGCAAAGGAATATAAAAGATTTAGGGCCATATCAAGAACAATATTGAAATAACAGCAGATATTACTTAGTAGTCCATAGACACCATACATACCAGTCATAAAAGTCATAAAACTTGAGTTAACCTAACCCTTCCACAATTATCTAATTAAACCTAACAACTAAGATCTTCCATTTTCTTGATAAGCAGGACCCACATTAACTGAAAATGGGAACCAGTTAGAAACAACAACAGCAATCAGATTTCAAGATCGGACGGTCAACATCATGCAGCTCCTTCTGCAACATCACCACACTTCTTGGCAGGGGAGCATATGAGCCAAACAAAGCCATATGGGTCCTTGACCTTGCCCACGCGCTCACCACAGCACGCACCCTCACCTTCCATAATCTCACCTTCTTCAACGGCTCCAGCACTCACAGCCTTGGCAATTGCATCACTCACATTCTCTGTCTCCAGACAAATGCTAATAGTGTTTCCTCCATTCTTCAGGCTGATAAAAAACAAAAAACACAAAATTTGAAATAAATAGAGAAAATATAGAAATAAAAATAATTAATTTTTTATTATTAAAACAAAGTATATACACAGATTTCGAAATAATCAAATAAAAAATAAGTAATTATATTTTGTTTTTAATTATTAAAATTAGAAATATGTTCTCAAGAACGGTACAACCTTATAACACAACAAAAACAACGAAAATAAAAATATTAAAAAAATACATAATAAAATAAAATAATAGCTAACAGTAAACGCATAAAAACAAAACACACAGTTGAGAGAACAAAAATCATGAATCACAAGAGAAAAACAACTCTCGCTAAAACAGTTATCAAATGCACATTAGATGCTAAGAGCAGAGTATTTACGCATAGCATTATTTTCAAATAACAAATAAGAGAAAATCAGTCACAAAAATAAAATAAAAAAATAAAAACACAAAAATATTAACAGATCTATCAAAAGATTGGGTAAAAAGAAACTCACGCTTCTTCAACGGAGTCACCGATGAAGTCAGAGACAAGAATGGAGAAGCCTCCGAGCTTCAGTTCAGCTGAGAGAATAAGAGGAAGCTCTTGCTCAGCCTTGCGCTTTGGGTGCAAGGTACGGTTAACCTCCTCCGCACCAAACGCAGCTTTGTAGAAAGAAATGGCATCGTTTGCCTTGGGAGCTTCCACCAACAGACGCAGCTTCAAAGCAGAAAACGACGCAGCAGAGGATCCGTCGTTTGATGCCACGTTCTCAGCTCCACCGTTCTGAACCTCTTGTTGAGCCATTGACGAACACACAGCAAAACGCACAACGAAGCTTCTAGAGAAAGACAAAACGACAGAACCTAACCCTAAGAGAGAGAAAAAAGAAAACAGAGAAACAGAAATAACGTGAAAAGAAAAATGCCAGACAGTGTGTGTATATATAGAAGCGGGGAAGCGGAATCGTCTGTGCCAGTTGAGGGCAAAATGGGAATTATAAAAGTTGGGTCTCAGATTTAAGAAGATAGTTTATTGATTAAAATAATAAAAAGGTTTAATTGTTTTTTAGTACACTTTATTTTTATTTTTACTTTGAGTAAAATTTGAAAATAAACTCAAACATGGAAAGCATTTACTGATACCAATTTTTTGTAACGCTTTGAAATAAATGTTTTAAATTTGGGACCTGCATTTTGTGTGTGTTGTTTAATTGAATGAGACAAACGAAACATCATCACCAAAATGTTGTTTTTTTATTTATGTTAATATTGAATATTTTAAAAAAAATATACAAATGAGACAGTGTATATATAGAAATTGAAAGTTAAAGTTATGGCATGGTTTGATTAGTTATAAAAAAAATATTTTAATAATAAATTATGTGCATGATCAGTTTTATTATAATTAATTGTGGTAAAATCAGTTTAATATTTGCATATATTAATTGAAAGGTATGCTTAAAATACCATATTTTATTTGAAGGGTTTAATATCTCTTATGTTTTATGAAATAAAATTATCTGCTACACACATAAAAAAATGTGAAACTTAGTGGTGTCAAAATAGGCTGAAGCCCGCAGGCCAGTATGCAAAGCCCTATATTTGGCCTTATCCCAGTAGGTTTTTTTTGTGATGGAGCTTTTTTAGCTCTAACACTCAAAGCCCTATAATTTAGCAGGCTGAATTAGGGCTAGCTCGCGGGCCAAATTTTTTTCCTCGTCAAAATTTTCATTTTTTAAAAAATTAAAATTATATGATTTAAATATTTATAAATATAAATAAATTATAAACAATGATAAAAGTTATACTTACAACCTATTTTTGTTTACAGCATTTTACAACCATATCATAACCGTTGATTTTCGTCAATCAACAGTTATCATTTATTGCAAATTAATAATTAATTAATGTGTTTAATTTGCGAAAATAATAATCGTTGATTGACTGAAATCAACGGTTAAGATATGATTATAAAAGGTTGTAAACAAAAATAGGTTATAAGTATAACCTTCCTCATAAACATAATATAAGTAAAAATTGTTATAAATAAAATATGAAAGAAAGGAATATGAAGTGTAGAAAGAAAATCAAGGAAGGATAAGATTAAGAACAAGTATAAGCTCTTGAAGGTAAAGAAATATTATTATATTGGGTGAGAAGTATGGGTGGATATCTTGGTGCCTGGATGCAACATGGTCGGGTCACAAGACAGTCATATGTCAAGGTGGTGGATAGAGTCAGAGAGGTTAGAATCTTGGAAAGCTACCTCCCTATCCCAAGCTGGTAGGGTGACATTATCGTAGTCAGTTCTTTCCATTATTCCATATTTTCACATGCAGCATGGTAAAATTTCCATTACAATTTGTAATGAGGTAGAGAGATTACAGCGAGATTTTATATGAGGTAGTCTAGATCAAAGGCGTCACCACCCAATCAACTAGGATACCATGAAAAAGCCAAAAGATTTAGGGGGCCTTGGTTTAAAGAGCCTTACCATGATGAATGATGCATTCCTTGCCAAACTTGTCTGGACAAATTTTTCTAATACTCAAGCTTTGTGGGTCCAAGTAATTAGATCCAAATACAATAGTGGTAGAAGAAAGGAGGAATTATTCACCCAAAGGGTGGGTGATTCCCGGCTATAGGTAAACCTTTGTTGTGTTTGGAAGTTGATAAAAATGGAAAATTGGTGACGGAACCATTATAAAATTTTGGAAAGACGCCTGGAATCCTTTTGGTAAACCACTTATTGGGATAGAAGATATCAACAATAGATTGTTGGATAGTGAGGTGGAAAAACATATTGTTGATTATATCAACCCTGCTGGCCATTGGAATGTGGATTTGTTGCAGACTTGATTACCTAAAGACCATTTGCATGTGCTCTTGAGCTGCTGCCTCCAGACCCATCGGATGGTCAAGAACGTGTCCAATGGTGTCTCTCTGGGTACCCTAATACCTCAGTTAAAGGAGTATACTAATTGTTGTCAGATATTGGTAGAATCCAGGATGCAAACACAAAAATATGGAATAAATTGGATAGGCCCCCAGAAGATACAATTTTTTGGATGAAAATTATTTCATAAAATACTTCCTACAACCACAAATGCGCTGCTTAGGGAGTAGTTGATTCAACCTGTCCAATTTGTGGTTGGCATACTGAGAATACCCTTCATGCTATAAGGATTGCCCAAAAGTCAAAGATATTTGGAAAAAAATTGTCTCTATTAATCACCAGGGTAGTTTTTTCTAGGCAGAAGAGGACAACTGGCTAACCCTTAATTTTTTAAATGATTTTTGTGTTACTTTACAGGTTCCTTGGCATATGGTTTTCTTGATTTCTTACTGGACTTTCTGAAAATGGAGAAATGAAATAATGCATAATCATCCTGCATCCTCCCATCATTACAAAGTCCAAAGTATCCACCATCAAATTAAAGAGGTTGGAGAAGTTTATCATCGTGGAGATATTAGCTCCCTGACAAGGACTATGCATCATATTTTTATTGCTTGGCAATCCCCTCCTGAGGGATGGATCAAATTTAATTCAAATGGAGCTTCAAGGGGTAATCCTGGTTTTCCAGCTTGTGGTGGGATTGCTACAGATAATTTTGGTAATTGGTGTGGTGGCTTCTCATTTGGCAATGGTGTCTGTTTGGCCATCATAGTAGAGTTCAAGGGGATTCTTAAAAGTCTGGAGCAAGCTTGAGAAAAAGGATATAGACAAATAATCATAGAAAGTGATTTTTTATATGCAATCACGGTGCTCACTAAACCTAGTTATGCGGCCCGAGAGTCTCATCTTCTAACTCGCATTCGGGCATGGCTGAATAATGTGTATGCAGACTAGTTATCCAACTATCCCTTTGATCACCCTCAAGATGTTGGCTTCTGTTTCTACCATTTTCCTCCGTCTGGAGTTAGGCACTTATTTTTAGCTGATGTAGCTTCTATTTTTTTTTTCTCGTTTAGTTTCTTTGTAATTTTTGTTTTTACTGGGGCTCTACCCTTTAGCTTACCAACAAAAAAAGAAATATTATTATATTCTGAATTCACCGAGTACCATTTTTTTTATTTAAGATAAGTCCTTATATAAGACACTAAACATAATTAGGAGAATAATTGCAATTCAACACACCATTAGTATGATAGTTGTATAATACATCAAAGGTCATGAAAAATAAAAAATCACATGTTATGAACCATGTAAAAGGTCATCTATAATATTTTACAACACTCCTCATTAGATGTATTCTATAATTCAACACACAATTAGTGTGATGGTTATAAAATACATTAAGGACCTGTTTGGAGCACCTGATAAAGAAGATAAGATAGGATAACTTATCATATCCTACTTTTATCTCTTGTTTGTTGGGTCAATAGGATATGATTAGCTTATCATATTGTCTCATTTTATCCTATCCAATACATGATTTCTTATCATATGGGGGGAGCTGGGTTATGATTCAACAGGATAGGATACCAATATTAGATACCCAATATATCCCCACGCTACCCAATATATTTGTATTTATTGCATTATATTTTGTTTATTCTTTCTCCTTCTACGTCCCAAGTTATAAGTTGTATTCATTGTTGTTAAAATCGCGTCGAAGATCGAAGGGTCGTACGCTCTTACGTTTTTTTTCTTTCAAACGATTTGAAACGTACTTGAGATCGTTTTTTTTCTCTCAAACTGGTTGGGATCGACATGTAAAAGCAAGATTAGTGGAAACAAACATTTCCACCATTGAAGCGATTCAGGTGGAAAAAAACCAAGATTTATGGCGGCTTAGATTTGGGAGAGAAAAAAACACAGAAGAGGAAAAGTCTTCGAGCGGTGGTCGGCGGAGACCGAATCCTCAACAACCTCTTGTGATTCAATTTGGCCAATGGAACTTAAAAAAGAAACAAAAGAAAGAAACTTAAGAAAGGAACAGACTTGAAGGAAGAAGAAAGGAAAATAGTCACTTGAAAAGAGAGAAAAAGTCTTAAGAGTGAAAACGTTTTTCTCATAATAGCACATTCACCGCCTAAATCACTTCTTCGAGTTTTATTATCTTGTATATTTTTTTTACTTATTTCAATTTACAAATTTTGACTTTTTTTCATTATTTTTCTTTTATTTGAATGAGCAGAAAACACATGGAATGAAAAATTAATCGATATACCTTTTTGAATTTACAAATTTCTACTTAGCGATTGAATGTTGAAACATGGAACATGTTTTTCGAATAATGGTACATATGATATGCAGATAAAAAATTAATTAAAAAAATTTTGTTTAAAATTATAATTGTTAAATTTGTATAAATAAATGTAAAAAATTTAAAAATTAATTTTTGATAAATTATATGATATTATGTTAAAAAGGGTATTTTAGTCTGTTTGTATCATATCTTGAAATATCTGGTTCGCCTCAAACACATGATAGGATAACATAATCTTATCAGATTGTTAATCAGATGCTCATCAAACACAGGACATAATATAGGCTTATCAGCCTCATATCATATCATACCCTTATCCAACTCTCTTATCCTATCCGTTCTTATCCTATTCTGTCCACCAAACAAGCCCTTAAAGGTCATGAAAAATAAAGAGTCACATGTTATGAACCATGTGAAAGGTCATCTATAATCCATCATAATATTTTACAACACTTCTCCTTGAATGTATTCTACACTTCAACACACAATTAGTATGATGGTTATAAAATATATCAAAGCTCATGAAAAACAAAGAGTCACATGTTATGAATCATGTGAAACGTTATTTATAATATTTTACAACGAAAATGAATTTTTTCACCAGTGATATGTTTCATCAGAAAATTTCATTTGTGCAATAATAAAAATGAAATTTTCTATTGACATCTA